TGCACGGGGTTACTCCTGGCTCTGCACTCAGGAATTACTCCTGGCGGTGCTCAGGGGGGCCATATGGGATGCTGAGGATCGAACCTCGGTCGGCCGCGTGTGAGGCAAATGCCCTACCCACTGTACAATCACTCTAGCCCCTCTGAATATAATCTTACAAATAAAACAACTCCTAAAGTGGTCAACACTCTGAGTGAAGCCTAGGTTTTGCTACTCTAATGTGGGATCCATACGTTAGAAACAATGAACTTGGGACCGAAGCAATAGTACATGGTGTCCCAAGCACCACCTGAAGTCATCCGGAGCAGAAAGAGAGAAAGAGAGAGAGAGAGAGAGAGAGAGAGAGAGAGAGAAAATAGCATAGTTAGGATGCATGTTTAGCATACTCCCATACCCCATTTGATCCCCTGCACCACGTGTCCCTTTAGTATCAGGGTACAGCTCTGAGACCCCTGTGCACCATCAGGTATGGCCCTAGTAGTCTCCAGCACCACAGGGCCTTCCATAGGAACTTAGCACCACATCCTCTGCCTTTGCATTGAACCTCTAGCCTGGTTTGCCAAGAATTGCTGGTGGGGCCCCCTGGTTCTTGTGAGCACTGTTTATGAGGATTCCACCTCCCCAAATAAATAAGAAGAGGATAGAGAGCAGGAATTGTCCTTTTACTGCTAATTCTGGAAGAAAGTGCTGCAGTGTGTTTGACTAGTAATTAATTGAATCTCAGCGTGGCAAAGGCTATGGTGTTGTATATGAACTAATGATACCTCTTGGTCTGTATTCTGTTTTTGTTTTGTTTTTTTGGCGGGGGTGGGGAGAGGAATGTCTCACAAGCATAGTTAAAGGGCAGTGCTTAAAAGTTCAGAGCTAATACTCAAGGATAGTATGGTGGTGTTTAGACTCTCTGGTTGGTACCAGTGGCCACAGGAACCACCCTGGCAGTGATCAGGAGCCCATGTGTACTGGGGATTGAACCCAGGTCAGGTGCATAGTAGGCATGTGCCCTAGCTATTGCACTCTCAGATCTTGCATTTGAGTTTTCCAGCCTCTCACCCTTCCCCTTCATTGATGGGAAGCCACTTGTACTTTGTGGCGCTTGCACATACATTCTGTGAGGCTGGTGTTGTTTTGGTTGTGGTACTTGGTGCATATTCTAGTCGTGCTCACTAGGGGGTTACACTCGTGGAGGCAGTGCTTACACATCTTTCTAGTTGTGCTCGCCAAAGGATCAAATTTTAGTTGCAGTCTTAGCCCACATCTGGCCCAGAGATCCACATTCTGTTGCAGTCCAGGTAGCTTACAAACAAGAGCTGCTGCTGGAATGGAGCTCAGTAAATATAACCAAGCAGTTCTGGGGATCCTATTCATAACCTCACTGTTGTGAGGAAGGACTTTGGCACTGAGTCATCCCTTAGCTCCCATGCCTGGAAATTTTGTGATAAAAGCTTTCATATTTTCTGATGTTCAGGCAATATTCCAGTAAATATCTAACATGGACTGTGGGGTTCTATTTGTTTTTAGTATGACAAGAGCACAGCCCTTTTTTCTGTCCCATCACCCACTTGGGGGGAGTGCTGGAGTGCAAAGCTGGGGATCTAACTTGGGACTTCCTTAGGCAGAGAGTGCACTTTAGCCCTTTGAGCTGACTCCCTACCTATATGTGGTGATGCTCAGGGGTTACTTCTGGCTTTGCACTCAGGAATTACTCCTGGCAGTGCTTGGGGGACCATATGGGATGCTGGAAATTAAAAACCTGGGTTGGCTACATGCAAGACCAGTGTCCTACCCGCTGTTCATTCACTCCAGCCCTGCTGGCCCTCATTTTTAATATTTTAAGGGACACCAAACATAAGCCTTTATAGTTTTTTTGGGGGGGATGTACAGGGAAGTACTTATGCCATAGGTTAATAGATTATATGTATGCCATAGATTAGAACTGGAAGGAGATTGTTGCATGATGGTTGTGACAGGAACCTGAGAATGGCAGCTACTGAACTCAATTGAAATTTGATGGTTTTTGTTTTTTTGTTGGGAAGAGGGGAATGCTTCCCAGGGAGTGCCCAGGGGTTCCAAGAATCACACTTGTCAGTGGTAGGGATCAAACTCTGGTTGTTCACATGCAGAATATGTGCTTCAGTCCTTGTGACCTATCTCCCCAGCGTTAATCTTCAGATTTAAGATATAAATTCTATACAGATATTTCTGCATAGGGCTGAAGCAATAGCACAGCGGTAGGGCATTTGCCTTGCACGGGGCTGACCCGAGTTTGATTCCTCCGCCCCTCTCGGGGAGTCCTGCAAACTACGAAGAGTATCTCACTCGCATGGCAAAGCATAACAAGCTACCCGTGAGGTATTCAATATGCCAAACACAGTAACAAGTCTCACAATGTTACTGGGCCCACTTGAGCAAATCAATGAACAATGGGAGGAGAGTGACAGTGACATATATCTCTAGTTAAAAACTACATAATGGATGTATGTGCATGCATGCATGTGCGTTTGACCTTTAGTGAAATAGTAGTAGTAAGAAAATGAGAGGACATGGGAAGGGGGGCGTTCCGGTCCATTCTTCACGCCCTACCGAGGTCACCAGTTGCCCCCCATGAGCGGCTCTCCAGCACAGCCACAGCCCAGAAGCACAAGGACTTAAGGCAGAACCCAGAAGCTTGGAGCAGAAAAGTGAATGGACTATGCCTTAATCCAGGCCATCATGTCTGCCCGGAGGGGAAAGGGTGTTGCCCCATCCACCCTCTCCTCTCTGGAAAGAAGGTGGCGGCCACATGGGTGCCTTGTGGAGAGCAGGTGTGAGCCGGGGGTGTGGGGGCGACTAAAACCTCATGGGAAGGGGGGCGTTCCAGTCCGTCCTTCACGCCCTACCGAGGCCACCAGTTGTCCCCCATGAGCGGCTCTCCAGCATGGCCACGGCTCCAGAGCACAGAAACCAATCTCTTAATTATCTGACTCTCAGTAGAAATACTTCCAGGGTTAATTAGCAAAATAGCGGAAATCCAAAACCAACATTTAAAGCGAATCACTTCACAATGTTTTCTCAGCATGTCTGATGTGGGGGAAGGGGGTAAACTCTAAATAATAGTGGTGCATCTTTTATTGAAACAATGAATCTAATCAAAGCAGATAAAGTGTCAACTAGAATTCATCTGCCTCGCAGGCATTGGGAGGGATTGGGGATGGGGTTTTATTGGGGTTCTTCGTGGTAAAAAATAAGTATTGGTAAAGGGAAAGGTGTTTGATATTTGCATGACTGAGACCTAAACCTGAAATCTTTGTAACTTTTCCCATAGTGATTCAATAAATAAATAAATTATTTTAAAAAAAAAAACAAAAAAAAAAGAAAATGAGAGGAGAGAGAGTTCCATAAAGTTAGAGAAATTATCTGTCCTAGATCTGAGATCTGGAGTACAGGCAAATCCAAAATGTATTATGCTTTAAAATGTTTTTTTAAAAAAATTATGGGGCTGGAGTGATAGTACAGCAGGTAGGGCGTTTCCCTTGCACATGGCTGACCCGGGTTCGATTCCCAGCATCCTATATAGTCCCCTGAGCAACGCCAGGAGTAATTCCTGAGTGCAGAGCCAGGAGTAACCCCTGAGCATCGCCGGGTATGACCCAGAAAAGCAAAAAAAAAGATTAAAGACATGAGAAACTGGTATTCAGTAAGAAGTGTGGGGACTGAGAGATAGGATAGGGAGGGGACAACATCTGTGATGGAGGTAAGTATTCAGCCAGGAGTGGGAAATGGTGTTGAAAGGTGGTAAGATACTATGTCAGCAATAGTACTGTAAGACATATATATAGTGCAGGAACTTTATGTGTGTATATATATTTTTTTTTTAAGAGCCTCTATAGAAGCAGACTGGTGGGATGCAAATGGTGGGGGGCATTGATTAAGGGAAGTGGACTCTGTTAAAGAGATTGGTGTTGAAACATTATGTGCCTGAAGCCCAGTCATGAATAATTTCATAATTTCACAGTGACTAAATTTAAAAAAGAAAAAAGTTTTGCCCTGTATACTGCTGATTCAACGATCCCCTGCATCACATATGGTCTCGTAGACCCCACCAGGAGTGATCCCCGGGAACACTGCTTGAATGTGACTCCCCTCCCCCCCCAAAAAAAATTAAATAATAAAATATATTCAGAGGGTTGGGAAAGATAGTGGTAGAATATGTGCCTTGCATATGTGAGACCCTGTATTCAGCTCCAGCACTGTTGTAATACAAGCAACCGGAAATAAAAATATAACTAAAACTTCTTTTCTCTTGTTTTTGTTTGTTTGGGGGCCATACCCTGTGGTGCTCAGGGCTTACACTTTTGCAGTCAGGGATCACTCCGCTCAGGCTTGGAGTGCTAGGAATTAAACCTGAGTTGGCTGCATGTATGGCAAGTGCCTTACCAACTATACTATAGATCTGGCCCTAGAATCTTCTTTTTTATAAGATCTCCCGTGTTTAGCATTGTTTGAGGATCACTTCTGTCTGTGTCATGGGGAGGGCCTGCTATACCAGAAAGGTCCTCTACATGTAAAGTGCTTTTTCTTTTTCTTTTTTCTTTTCCCTCTTTGGTTTCTGGGCTACACCCAGCAATGCTCAGGGATTACTCCTGGGTCTCCATTGTGGAATCACTTCAGAGGTCAGCAGTGAGCAAAGTAAGCACCTTAGTCTTTGTACTTATCTCTCCAGCCCGAAAGTATGTGCTTTTGAAAGAAACTGCTATAAAGTAAGATTATTCTTGGTTTTGGTTTCTTTTTTTTTTTTTTTTTTTTTTTTTTTTTTTTTTTTTTGGTTTTGTGCCACACCTGACAATGCTCAGGGGTTTATCTTGGCACTTCCACTCAGGAATCACTCCTGGTGGACTCTGAGGACCGGTGGCATGCTGGGGATCAAGCTCTGGTTGACTGTGTGCAAGGCAAGTGCCTGCCCCTACTGTACTATCTCTCTGGTCCTAAAGATGATTCTAGAGTAATTTTATTTCTCTTTTTAGGTATCCAAGCCCACCAATGGGATCTGTATCAGCACCCAACCTGCCTTCAGCGGAAGAAAATTTGGAATATGTTCGGACTCTCTATGATTTTCCTGGCAATGATGCTGAAGACCTACCCTTTAAAAAGGGTGAGATCCTGGTGATAATAGAGAAGCCCGAAGAACAATGGTGGAGTGCTCGAAACAAGGATGGTCGTGTTGGGATGATTCCTGTCCCTTATGTGGAAAAGCTTGTGAGATCGTCACCACATGGAAAGCATGGAAATAGGAATTCCAACAGTTACGGGATCCCAGAACCTGCTCATGCATATGCTCAACCTCAGACCACAACTCCTCTACCTACGGTTTCCAATTCTCCTGGAGTAGCAATCAATCCCTTGCCATCCACACAGAATGGACCTGTCTATGCGAAAGCAATTCAAAAAAGAGTACCTTGTGCTTATGACAAGACCGCCTTGGCATTAGAGGTAAAACCTACTCAGGGCCCATTCTGTGGATCTTTCACATACGAGGGTTTTTTATGAGTGGATGGAGGTGGGGTATCAGGGTCAGGGGCTGGATCTATGCTTAGGGGTCACTCCTGGCAGTACATGGGGGGACCATATGTAGTAGTTGAAATCTGGTTGATCACATGGAGAGCAAGCACCTTAACCCCCTGTACTATCTATGGCCCTGATTCATTGTTACTTTTTGTTTGAACCCAAGGATGTTCAAGTGAGCATGTGATTCCAGGGATTAAACCCTGGGCTCCAGATGTAAAGCATGTACTTCAGCCCTTTGAACTATCTCCTCAGACCCTAGTTTCTATTTTTTGTGTATTTGGTTTTTTGGCCACACCCAGTGATACTCAGGGGTTACTCCTGGTTCTGTGCTCAGGAATTACTCCTGATATTTGTGAGACTATATGGTATGCTGAGGATTGAACCCATATCGACTATGTGCAAGGCCAGCATCCTGCCTGCATTATTCTCTCTCCAATAACCCTTTTTTTTTAATTCATTTTTTGCAAAGAAATGACTACATATTAGGTATAGTCACAGGAATATTGCACATGTTCCAATTCTACATAGTTCTTTTTTTTGTTTTTGGGACCACACCTGGTAGTGCTCTTGGCTTTGTGCTCGGTGATCTCTCCTGGCAAGCTTGGAGGACCAGGTAGGGTGCCAGGGATCGAACCTGCATTATCTGTGTGCAAGGCAAACTGCCTACCTGCTGTACTATCGCTCCGGCCCCCTCTAAACGTCACTCATCCTTTATCAGTAATTTGAGAATGCTTTGTAAGCCAGTTTATAGTGTATCATTATTATATGATTACAGTTGAATACTTTCATATGATTAGATGTATGTTGGAGAAACAGATGAAGTTAGTGATTGTTCTCTGTTCTTTCAAGGTCAAAGTAAGGCAGAAATGGTGATAGTTTAGGTGAATTATACTGGAACCTGTTGCTTTTTTTAAGTTTTGTTTTGTTTGGGAGCCACACCCAGCAGTGCTCAGGACTTACTCCTGGTTCTGTGTCAGGGATCACTCCTGGCAGGGTTCAGGGTGTGCCATATGGGATGCCAGGGATCAAATCAAGATCAGCCATATGCAAGGCAATCACCTTCTTTACTGGACTATCTCTTTGGCCTCATAATTTCATTTTTATTGAATCATTGTGAGACAGAGCACTACAGAATTGTGCATGAATGCATTTCAGTTATACAGTGTTCCAATACCCATCCCTCTACCAGTGTAATTTCCCAGCACCAATGTCCCCAGTTTCTCTCCCATCCCTGCAGCTCCCCGCACCCAGCCTGTCTCTATGGCAGGCACCTCCTCCCTCTCTCCCTCTCCCCTTCTCTTTCTCTCTCCCTCACATTGTAGGGGTTATGGTTTGTGACACAGATGCTGAAAGGTTATGTACATCCCTCTAACCTGCTTTCGACACTCAGTTCTTGTCCAGAGTGATCATTTCTAACTAATATTTTCATAGTGGACCCTTCTCTATCTTAGCTACCCTCCATCTCCCACACCACTGACCAGCCATTAATGAGTCTTCCTGGACCATTTTCCCTGGCCTTGTATATTAGTTTCATACTGTTCTGTTTAAAGAGTGATTATTTCTTTCTCATGCTCACTGTAGGATAATAGTAAGTATATGAGGCGTGTATCAGGAACCAGAATCTGGAGAATTGGGATTTTTATACTTCCAGCAGAAGAACAGGAACGAAATCAGGAGCTGCCTTTCTAGATTTTGGTATTGTTTGGGGAGGTAGAGAGTGGTTTGGATTTTTGGCCGTGCCCGGTGTACTCTGCCAAATTTTGTTTCCTGTTCTTTACCTTTTTCTCCTCTCCCCATCCTTCACCCCCAGTTTTTGAGTCACACCTGGCAGTGCTCAGGGCTTACTCCTAGCTTCCTGCTAAGGAATTAACTCCTGTCAGTGCTCAGGGGACCATATGGGATGCCAGGGATTAAACCAGGGTTGGCTGTGTGCAAGGCTCCTGTTTTACTTTTTACATTTAGTTGAGACTTTATTGCATAAATATTTTTATTGTATTCTAAAATGATTAGAATAGTGGTTTCTAATCTTGTTTTTTTTTCCTTAAAAAAAAATCCTCTTGGGGCTGTTGCAAATAGGTTAGCAGGAAAAGGATTAAAATTAAAACAAGAAAAGTGAGACAAGTAGGACAAAATGTGCCAGTAATTGAAGCTCCCCTATTCCCCTTGATAGTATTACAGGAGAAAGATGAAGTAGAGCAACTTTATTTCTTGTTATGTCAGTGTTTTTCCCGCATAAAACATCTTAGTGTGTGTGTGTGTGTGTGTGTGTGCGCGCGCCTCACCCAGTGATACTCAGGGCTTACGCCTGGCTTTGGGGCACCAGATGTCACCCTTGGGGGACCAAAAGGGAATGAAACCCCGGTTGGCTACATGCAAGGCAAGCTCCCCCAACCCACTGCACTATCCAACCCCATAAAACTTGATTTTCAAAAGAATATTCCTTAAAGTAATGAGGTACATTTCTTTCCCTCCCTTTACTGGGAAATCAAACCCAGGGCCTCACACTATGCAAAGCAAGTACTCTGCTACTGACCTCTCTTCATTCCAACCCTTGAGAGATACTTCAAACAGACCAATTTTTGCCATTTCCCTCTCTTGCTTACCTGTTTTCAGAAAATAGCAACACTTCTATTTACTTGGAGTAGTAGGGCTAGAACTGTAGTAAACAGATCACACCCTACAAGAAAAACCATAGGGAACCTTTTCCAAAAGTACATCATTGACCAGAAAAGAATGTTTGGAGCATGGATCTTAATATGGTTTTAAAACAGTCTTAGGGAAAGTTGTGTTCTCTGACACAGTGGAGAAGCAACAAATAAGATAGGAAAAGATCATGGATGTTCAGCCAAGTCCTGGCTTTCTCTGCTCTGAGAGGAAATGGGAGTGAGTTCAGTAATCATTCATGCTTCCACTCTGAACAGTACCTTGTATGGCTGTGCCACAAAATTGCTCATACCTGGTGCAAGATTAAAGACACAAACCAGCAGCACAATAAGTGCTCTGATAACAAAAGAGTAGTGAGGGAGAGTGGGATAGTGGTAGGATGTTGAAGTGTGGGTAGAGTTGACCTGGGAATACTTTCGCTAGGAAATGACCATTGAAAAATGAATAGAGGATAGCGGGGTGAAGAGGCAGAGGGAAATTTTGCATGAACTAACCAGAGATTTTCCATATTTATTATTTGACCTATCTCCCTTTTTCAGGGAGGAAAAAAATCACGTGGTATCCTCTGGAACTCTTAACCTTTAAGTGATTAAACAGAAAACCCACCTCCATTGCACCTCAAGCTACCTCCTTCCCCTCCCCAACCCCCATGGCTCCAGTGGAAGGGATTCAGTCTTCACGTTGTAAGCACCAAGTAAGATTAACCTAATTGAGTAGCTGCAGGTCAATGAGAGCTCTGGTATATTGAGCAAGGGACAAAAATAAAAACAGAACTGGGAAGTAGGATGTTGTCATATCCCCTACGGTAAGATTAGATTAACAATTTTCTTTCTTTCCTCTTTTCTTATTTTTTTTTAAATTTTTTATTTTGGGGCTGCACCCAGTAGTGTTCAGGGATTATTTCTGATTCTGCACTTATCAATTACTCCTGGCAGTGCTGGGGGACCAGTATATGGAATGCCCCGGATCTAATCCTGGTCAGCTGAGGCGAGGCAGTACCTACTGAACTCTCTCTTTGGCCCCAGCAGTTTTCTTTGTTTCCTTGTCTTCCATTCCCCTTTGCTGTTGCACCCTCAGGGGATCACACACTTGGTTGGACTTGCACTCACTGGGTTCCACTGCACTAAAGATTTCCCACTTGTTCTGACCCTAGGATCTCAACAGTGGAGCCATGGGGGATGACACCCTACCCATCATATCTTCAAAGTAGGTGCTCTGTGCTGAGCCACGTCCCTGAGCCCCGATCTCAGAATGTTGATTTAGCTTTCTACTGCCATGTGTGATACCACTGCCATCACTGAATGGCTCAGAATTCTCAAGTTTCTACTTCAGTCAGTTGAATTATTTCATTAATTAGAATTAGTAACATTAGTAGCACATTAGTTAGTAATTATTAGCACATTAGTTAGTAGCACATTAATTAGTAGCACATTAGTAACTCCTTCATCACAAAGTAAGTCTGTTTCAGTAATACTGATTGTATTTTTTTAGTCCTTTACAGTTATCCATGTTTATCTGGGTGAATAGTTTCTATTTTATACCAATTTATACTTTTTCACAGTGATATCAGGACTGATATCAAGCATCTTAGCTCACATCTGTATAGGGTCAAAGTCTTCTAAAGTAATGGACTCCACTATCCTATCGCATGTCATATTCCAATAGTGACTTCCTTTCTAACCAAGAATTGTCTACAGTGCCCAAAGTGAACCAGAGAAATAGAGGAGGGAATCAAGGTTCTTGCCTTGCACGTGTTTATTACTTTGTTTTTGGATCACATCTGGTGATGCTCAGGGGTTACTCCTGACTCTGTATTCAAGAATTGTTCCTGGCAGTACTCCGAGGACCATATGGTCTGCCAGGGATCAAACCCAGGTTGGTGATGTGCAAGGCAAGCAACCTACCCACTGTACCATCTGACCCCTGCCTTGCACATGATGACCTTAGTTGATTCCATCTCCACTACATATGCCACGCTCCCACCCCTGCAGCCCCCACTTCCTCCAAGTCCCCTTCTCCCCAACGTTAGTATCACCAGGAATGTACTTCAAGTACAGCGCCAGAAGTAAACTCCTGAGAACTGCTGGGTATGATTCCAAAACGAACAGGAAAATGCTGAAAGTTAGAGACACACACTTGGGGTCAGATAGAGAAATCAAAGGACTGAGAGCATTCTTTGTACGGTGAGACCTGAGTTCCTGGTGCTGTATGATCCCCCAATCACCATACGGGTAATCAGTGACACAACTGGGTATGACCTG